ACGTACACCAGCTGAACAACAATGATGCAGCAGCCATGGACACCTCGTTCATGGGCGACAGCCTGGGCAACGAACCTTTAAAGCAGACCATGGACGATTATTACGATGCCCTAAAGCACGATTAAAATTACGTCGAACCATTGAGTCGAAGCCGAAGTTCAAAATCGAAAACAAAGGGACGCTGTGATTGAAATCTCTTCTGGTGGTCGATCTCATGAACAAACACACGAGAAAACCGCTCACCCTGTCTACACTAGCCAATCGCCATGGAGGCAGTCAACTGATCCGCGACGAACTAAACCTGTGAGATTACGCTGCCCCCACCCAAAGAGCTTCCGCCGGAGGTAGTCCGAGATCTGCAAAACGTACGAAGTGAACTCACAGGTACCGGCACGGCCAATGATCCCAGAGAAGTGCCCCAGCGCGCCAAAGAAGCATCGGACGAAATGAAAAAAATATTGGTCACATACTCGATCGAACCCTTGCCCGGTTTCGAATTTCCTCTTAGGGAAAATCGGGTCTAGAAGAAGCCCTTAAAAAACGTGCACGCAGAACTCGTGAGCAGCATGAGTAAACTGAATGAAATCGACGAGCACATCGCTCGCGAAAAAGAAAACTCAGGATCGTGGACCACAACGAAGTCACGAAAAACATCATGGAGAAAAGATTGCGCAACCTGGAAGACGAGAGACGGACCAGATTGGAAGCCGCTTCCTCCAACCAGGAAGCCCTCTGATTGCAGATCAGCCGCATGTACGAAACCATCGACTGAGTCTTGAACAAGGACACCACATTGGCTGACAAGATCCGAATTCTGTTCCAGGAACAAGGAATCACCATCGCCAGCATTCTCACGGCTTTGGGCTTCATCATATCGACCCTGGTCGTATCGCTGACGGGCGGTGGTGGTACACCACCAAGCCCAACACCAACAGGACCACCATCAGGTGACGACGTCGGAGACTGTATAAAAAAACATTTGAAATCTGGCTAAACTGACGGCAAAGCCACAGAAGTAATGCCTGGCATCTTGGGCAGCATCGTTTCCTGGCTCGTCACGTGGCTCGGTCAAAACCTGTGGGCTTTCGTCGTCGCCATGGTGGGTCTGGTATACGTCGCAGCTAAGGAATTTTTAACTACATGAGGCACAGTCCGACCGCGTTCCCGCCGACCACCAGTGTCGTTTTCCGAACGACATGCCGTTGATTGTTTGCCTGTACGTGTGGGGGCAGCTGTTGTTGTTGTTGTTGGTTCTACTTCTTCCGATGTCGGTGCCACGATGCCTGTTTCGTACTGCAGCACGACTCGACTCGCGTTATTGACTTTTTATCGCCGGTGGCGATGACGATGTCTTTGTTGTAGCCAAACACTCCGTTCACCCTCAGTTGCATGTCGCTTGGAGGCATGTACAGTCCCGCGCCGAACACTTAGTCGACTTTCGAACGGGCGTATTCCAGCACGTTTTCATAGCGTTCGATGGCACTCAGTATATCGACCGGTCTAGCAATGGCATCCTCGACATTACCCACGAACTGTTTCTGCGCATTGTAAGCTGTCCCTTCACAACCCACGATGTTGGAACATATTTGCGTCTGAGCGCCCAGCACGGCCCACATGTACGTTCGAATCGAATCGTTCAATCTGACGACACCGGCACGAGTAAACCCTTTCAAAGTGTCCAGCATGAACATTTTCCAATCGTCCGCGGGTCCCTGCTCAAACCTCCAAACGCGGTAATCCTTGCTGTCTTTGAAAGCCATGTAGTCATCTTTACACTCGTTCGTCTTGACGTAATGATACGACTTGTAACCCCAATCTTTCACCAGCTGTTTGCTGGCTTACACGAGAGACATGTTGTGAATGATGGGAATGCCCAAACCGTGGTTCGGACCCTGCAAACGCCAATCGACCGTCTTCGGATCTAGTTCGAATTCACAGCAAATGCGTTCGTATGCACGTCGACATTCCACGCCTTGTCCTGCGGAATTGGGGCGCTGATTTCTTTCAGGATACGTCTGATCTGGTAGTACACGTGAAACGAGAATACAGACCGACTCAGCTCCTCACGACGAGCGTTGTTCAACCTCACGCCGCACCCAGTGGTTGTGCACCACATGGCGAAATTGAATTGATTCTGCCAGAACTGCATCGGGTTGTTAAACCAGGCGTGTACCGTTTTCACATTCGTAACCGAAAACACATAATTTTTAAACACATCGATGAACCGAACCATGACATGTAAACCATCCTTTGCATCTACCACAATACTCGGTTGCTTGAGATCGGTAACACTTATATCATCACTTTTAGAATAAAACACTCCCAGTTTGTACATATTGAATTATTATTGTTTTGTATACATATCTACTTTTCAATATGTAGGTGACGCTTTCAGGAATCACGAGCGGCGAGTCCGTTCAACTGCTCCACGTGATCCATTACACGACCGGTCGAAGTCGCACTTTGCAACATCACCTACTACCCGCGATGGACCAACATCAACGGCAGAAACAACAGGCTGTTCGTCAATAGCAAACACAACCAAATAACGGATGGCTACTACAGCGTGTACTCGCTCAACAAAGAAATCTTCAAATCCGTAGGAGCCGAACTCAAAATGAATGACTCAAACGGCACAGTCGTGTTAACCAACAACGGAAAAAACGACTTGAGACTCAGTCGACCGTTGGCTAAAACGCTCGGGTTGATGTCGAACGACATACCCCCGGAAACCACTGTGACCGGCATGAAATTACCCAATCTCGTTACATATCGCAAACTGTGCATTGATCTCGATCAGCTGAGCAAGACGACAACGTTCAAGGCAAATGAGCTTAGACCCTGCTGAGAGCCGTGCCGGTGAAAACACAAAAGTACAACGACGGCAGAACCGAAACATTTTTGTAGCGGCATTACAAGAAATTAATCCGAGGCAACATCACGAATCCCGTAAGTATAGGATATCTCAGCGCGAAGCTGCACATACAACAATAACGTAGTCTCAAGGTACAGGAATAAGCATTCTAAAATGCACCAACATAGCGATGTCTGACCTCGGGGCATGCGCGAATTCGACGAACTCGGAGTCGACGGCAAGCTGTAAGCCTTGCAACTGATAAACAGAATTTACAAATGCGTCGAACTGCCACCCCTGTACTGCCGCTGGTGGTGGTGGCAAGAACAACGACCTAGGCGATTTCGTCGATACCGAAGGAGCGGTCAACAACACGCGGTACGACCTGATCTGCACTGACGAGGACGAATGGACGATAGACCCAGCCTTCCACGGCCGCCTCCTGGATGACATCGAGACCACGACCGTCTCCAGAAACACACACTACACTCTCATCTTAAACGACGACAACAAATGGGTATGAATCTCAACATCAAGCTCGACTCTCCCCACATTTTCACGGACAACAAAAATAACTACCTGATGAAAGTCGTGAACAACGGAACGCTGCTCGTGGCTTACATCCCGACGCAAATATGTAGTGTGATTGTCAGCACGTTGAGGCAAAAAAGTAGCTCACATGCTGTCGAGCAAACCCGGGATGCAAAGCGTGGGATTGCAGATGGTGTCGGAATTCGACAGCATGGTAAACGTCTTGGAAAATCGGCCCGCAAAATCCATGCTGTACATCCAAGTCTACCTCGGCGAACTGCCATCGGCGCGTGACGTCACTGAAATCGTGGAAGGGATCAAACTCCGCTGAGCCAAACAACAACAATACCAAGTTTGCTGTGTTTATGTGCGGGTGAACGTTAACGCCTACACTAGTCTCTAGGGAGTCACCGTGACCATGGAAGACACGATATCGCTAACCGAAATTTTCCTACTCAACAACATACATCTCATGGGTTTGAAGTGTACGTCCGAGGAATTATCCGATAAACGCACTCACTGACTCTAAAATCTCTGAGGAAGAGTTTCGTTTGGTGCTATCAGAAATCGCAAAATATCACAGAATGAAACAAGAGATTCGAACCAAGTCTCGTAAAAACGCCATCATCAGTGAAGAAGAGAAAAATTAATTCATAGAACAAGGGAAGCAACAGGCCCGACAAGCCCGATAAATTGTTTCGCAGATATCAACATAACATAGCCAGCCGGCCGGCCAGCTCAGCCAGCTGTAGGTCAATAGCTGAGCCAAGAGACACACACACACTGTGACTTGCTCACAGCGCTCGCTCCGTACTACTGAGGTGGCAGCGAGGTGACTCGGGAACTGCTGAGAGCTGCGGTATGATTTAGTGGAAATCAACATAACGTAGCCAGCCAGTCGGTCGGCTGTACATCCTGAGCCGAGCAGAGACACACGCACACTGCGACTCGCCCCACAGCACTCGCTCAAAGCTACCGAGACTGCAGCGAGGTGACTCCCCTTGAGGAACTGCCGAGAACTGCGTTTCATTCACCTTCATGCAGCTGTCGCCTCGCTAGTCAGCCGACCGTGCATCATCATAGCCGAGCCGAGACACACACGCACACACTTATACTCGACCACGGCGCTCGCTCAGAGCAACCCCCGAGACGGTAGCGAGGTGATGACTGCCGACACCTGCGTTTCATTCACCTTCAGACAGCTCACACATCGCTACAAGTACGTCCTAACGAGATAATAGCACGGCAGCTCGGGGGAACTGCCGAAAGCTGCGTTTCATTCAGCTGAAAACACCTCTCGCCTCGCTAATATATAACAAGTACTACGTTGGGTTGTTAGCCTTTCGCCAGACCAACCCCATGCTCACTAAAACGTGATTATTTCCTAAACTATTCGACCGATTTTCGTGAAATCTTCCATGCATCTCGGCAGATGGTTCCGCTATAGCAAAACAGCATTGGGAACACTCTCGATGACTTCATTAGATTAATACAGACTTAATTACGACAAAAAGATATACATTTTGCCTTTTCCCGACCGACCCCATGCTCACTTAAAGTCAATATTTCAGAAACTATTCAACCGAATTTCATCAAATTTTGCTTGCACGCAACGGATATTCCAGTAGGGTATCACACAGACATGCCTCGTGCAGCAGGTATGTTCACAGAAGTATCGCAAGGACATGCATGCCGCTAAAATATACCCCACAGCTTGCGTGAGCATTCAAGCTATTTCATACTAATTTAAGATCAAGCGAAGATGCTGTCTATGGGCAGATATTGGCACTCAAGCAGGTAAGGTGACTTTAAACAACTTCCGTATCGAATCACAACTAGGGGGTTAGGTTCACATGTCCCGGGAATACGTCACCGATATTTCTCGAGAACATCATTGTTGTGTCTGACATTCCTTGGGAACATCGTTGTTCTACAGGTCTCTGACATTCCTTGGGCTTGGAAACATCGTTGTTCTACAGGTCCCTGACATTCCTTGGGCTTGGGAACATCGTTGTTCTACAGGTCTCTGACATTCCTTGGGCTTGGAAACATCGTTGTTCTACAGGTCTCTGACATTCCTTGGGCTTGGGAACATCGTTGTTCTACAGGTCTCTGACATTCCTTGGGCTTGGGAACATCTTTGTTCTACAGGTCTCTGACATTCCTTGGGCTTGGGAACATCGTTGTTCTACAGGTCTCTGACGTTCCTTGGGTTTTGGAACATCGTTGTTCTACAGGTCTCTGACATTCCTTGGGCTTGGGAACATCGTTGTTCTACAGGTCTCTGACATTCCTTGGGCTTGGGAACATCTTTGTTCTACAGGTCTCTAACATTCCTTGGGCTTGGGAACATCTTTGTTATACAGGTCTCTGAGATTCCCTTGGAACTTGGTGTTTGGATTAACCTCTCATATTTTGTTGAAACAACGGTTATGTACCAGTCTGACATTTTCATCACTGTTGTATGACCCTCTGACATTTCCCAAGAATATCGCTGTTGTTTCATTCTCAACACGTCCTGGAACAACTTTGTTGTATTGGTATTTAACATTGCCCGGGAACATCACTGCTATGTAAGTCCCCGATGTCCGGGCAAATAGATCATTGAAACAAGTTGGGGATATTCCAATATGGTGTGAGATTATTCGGGAAGAAAGTTGTTATGAAACATTGTACTGAAGCTCTTAGTGAAACTTAGTGAAACGTTTTTGACATGCGGTGTCTGTCACGTCAGAAACGGCAACGTGCTATCGGCATGTTGGAAGCTGGGACAAGACAGAATCTCGGGACACGAGCTGCAAACCTTCCACAGTCAGCAAATAGCAGCTTACAATCACAATATATAGGGTTGAAGACGGTGTCGGGCAGGGAAAGCGCCATTTAAATTTTTAACATACCCGATAAAGCGTCAAACCAGGTTCTGTCGGGTATTGCCGGGATAGCGTCAACTTTGATAGTTGCAAAGAAAACATCAGATTACTGTAAATGAGTTGAGCGTCCATGGTTAAAACTTGAAATGTCGCTTTTCCGGCTGTAAACCCGGAAGACTGACGTGGATCCGGTAGATCAAAGGGAGACAAATCTAATACTGATAACTATGTCACGAGACGTTAATACTAACAGGGATTGTTCGGGTTCAAGAATACGATCTGTAAGATTCATACCGAGTACTCCCCTAGTTAATGTTTGAATGCCGAATTACGAACTGTCTGGAGCAACCACAGAATGCCATTACCTCGTGAAAATGAAAGCTTTCGAATGGGTGAAGCCCATGTTATTTAACATACATTGTGTAAGTGTAAGAGCAGTCTAGTAGTAGTCTTTTATCGGAAGACATTGTCTAAGTGTAAAAGCAGTCTAGTAGTAGTCCATTTTTGGAAGACATTGTCTAAGTGTAAAAGCAGTCTAGTAGTAGTCTATTTTTGGAAGACATTGTCTAAGTGTAAGAGCAGTCTAGTAGTAGTCTATTGTCGGAAGACATTGTCTAAGTGTAAGAGCAGTCTAGTAGTAGTCTATTGTCGGAAGACATTGTCTAAGTGTAAGAGCAGTCTAGTAGTAGTCTATTGTCGGAAGACATTGTCTAAGTGTAAGAGCAGTCTAGTAGTAGTCTATTATCGGAAGACATTGTTCATGCAAGGCGTCTAATTTGTGAACCAGACAATGTGTAGATGAACGGTTTGAGAGGCATTCTAGAAGTTGTAAGTAACAGGAATGACATGTTTTTATGGATGATCAGCTTTTTAATTGTATAAAAGCGACGTTTCGGTGTAGATACTTATACTGTTTTCAAACATTTTCCACATGCTTAAAAACGTTAACGTATCTACAGCGTAACGGCCCCTTAATAAGTACAACTAATTATAATCGTTGGATAATGCTCATATACGAACCTGTCTTCATGGTTTGACGGTGAAGATTTAATAATCTTAAAAAATAGATCATATGGCAAAGAATTAAGTATATGCAAAGATTTGAGTACACTTTACAACATTCGACAATAACATGACAACAGTAAGCATCTGGCAGTTTGACACATATGAGGTACATACAATACAGTGACAATGAGGTCAAATTACATAAATCAACTTTTCAATATGTAATGATTACCAGAATTTAACAAATATATCGTTTTCACCAGAAACTAAAAAAAGTATATATTGTAATGTCGTGGTACTGCTTAATTTGGCTTAGCATGTACCTGAAATTCAGAATATTCAGTTTTTTTACTGTTCATGAATATAATGTCTTTAACAAGTAAGACAATGGCGTTAAAAGGATTGTTATTCCTTCCTTGATTCTGATCTTTGAAATTGTGAAATTAATGCAAATTTGGGCTTTTTCTAACATTTTTTCTAAACGTTTCCAAATTTTGAATCCCGGATCACAATACCAACACAGGTGTTCTAAAGTTTCTATTTTTTTATTACAAAAACGGCAAAGGGGGTGTTTCCGATATCTTTATCCTTAATGAGAAGTTTGTAGGAAGAATAGTCAGATATTGCAGCCATTTTAAGTCAGTAATACGAGTGCATTAATGAGCTATCATACTGAATACTCTCCGTTCCTTTTCTGAAAATTCGCAATCTAAGATTCTTGCCCATTTAATTGTACATATTTAGAATCCAAGAATGCCGCATATCTATATATGACAGAATATGCGGATCAAAACCATTTTTGTTGTGTACAACATCCTGACACATCAATGAATAACTCAGCACAATTACAAGACATTACGTGAAAGCTTGCAGTCCATTCAGACAAGATCTTGACTTCAGTATCTAGCGTGACCACCACGGCCGGCAATAACTGCAGCACAACGTCTATGCATGGAGTGCACCAATCGATTGATGAAGGCCATTGGCACCTCGAACCACACTCTGAGAAAGGCCTGGCACAATATATCGGCTGTGTTCGGCCTTGGTATGACATTATTCAGTCTCCTCTGAATTTCATCCCAAAGATGTTCAAATTGGGTTTAAATCAGGACTAAGGGCTGGCCACTGCATGATGTTGACACCGTTCTGCTGTAGGAAGTCCCGTGTAGCTCTGGCAGTATGGTCCCGGGCGTTATCATGCTGGAAAATGTTGTTCCGGTTACGTGCGAAATGTGGTATGATGTGGGGTCTGAGAGCTTGGTCGATATAGCGCACCGCTGTGATGCCGCCTCCTCTCCCTGGACCAAGCTTCTGGAACACCACAGGACCCACTCTCTGGTTCAGGCCTATTCCACCCCATACCATGATGCTTGCACCTCGCCATGAGTAGAATTCCATAACATGAGTAGAGTCGCCATATTCTTGTTCTGCCATCTGCAGTTGATACGCAGTACCGACTCTCATCTGTGAACAGTTCTCCATTGCCTGTATCGCCAGTTTTGGTGTTGTAGGGCAAACTGTAGACGTTCACGCCGATGACGAGGGGTGAGGATAGGTCCACGGTAAGGTCTACGGCAATGGAGGATCCCACTGTTAAGACGTCGGCGTACTGTATCAGTACTGATTGGTCTTCCGTGTGTTCCCGCTGTCTGGCGTGCTGTTTCGGAATGCCTGCATGAAGGGATTTGTACATGTTATCACACAACATGGCGGTCTTGTCGTCTTGTGGTCACCCTTGGTCTGCTAGTACGGGGGCGATCATTTGTGGTGTTGGTGGCCCTGCAGCCTGTAGATGGTCCGAGCGTTGACCTGGAAGTGATTCGCAACGGCTTGTGTAGTGTGGCCAGCTTCAAGTCTTCCTAGCACCTGATTCCTCTGAGCTGCCATGAGTCGCGGCATCCTGCTGACGTTGTAATGTGAATGTTTCAAGCAGGTTTGGGGGTGCATTTTATAGGGCTGGTCCTTGTGAACAGCACGTGCAGCATGAGGTACATGAAAAACATGGAGAACATCGTACCATCTCCGAGATCAGGTTGCGTTTTGAGACCATTTCCTGGGTTCCATTCTGAGTTTGGGAAGGACTGTCTTTTCTCAGGTAAAGTTGGAGATGTTGTCAAAAATATACAATCAAGACATCTCGTTTAACTTTATCGGGCTCACCCCTCAAAATGAAGTTAAAAATTGCTTCTGGAATTTTTCAGTTTCGTGTGTTGTTGGATCTGGAACTGAAGAAAATAAATGATTTAATTTAGGGAGTAAGAGGGGATTATAAGATAGTGTTTCTGCCTAAAGGCTTCGGGCTGACCAAATGTTCATCTGGTTTTCAATATGAGAAAAGTTGTCATCGTAGTTTTTTTCAACCGTACTGTCAATATCAATATCAAAATTAATTCCCAGAGGAGAGAAGTTCGTTTGGGGCCAATCAAAAATCCATTCTTTGCAAAGTTTGTATCTAGATCGTTTCTTAGACCCGATTCAAATCATTTTGGTCATTTCTACATTTACCTTTAAACCGGAAAAACGCTGGAAACTTAAGAGAGTATTTAGTGTTGCATAAAGGCATTTTTCAGATCCATCTAAAGACAGAGTAGTATTATGGCCAAACTGTGCAAGTAGGTACTCAATGTTTCCTAAATGTATCCCTTTAATGTCTTTATTGTTTTTCATCAAAATGCCTAAAATTTCAACACAAGAGTACGAATAAATATGGGGCTATTGGATCACCTTGGCGACAGCCGCGTCCAATTTTGAAAGGATCTGAGGCGAACGTACACGGGATTCTA